ATTCTGCCATTAATTGTATATTTAGAATTTTGCCGAAGAAACTAATAGTGCAATCACTAAAAATGATTAAAGCCTAGAAGAAATTATAATAGGTCTCTTTCCTAGCTTATGACATAAGGTGAGAAGCGATGTAGCGATAACCCATTTAGCAAGATTCTAGTAGAAGCATGTTTTGCGTGGAAAACGGGTAGAATTGCTGTGGTGCTGAGGAGTGTTGTCTTGGTGCTGAGTGGGCGAAAACCGAGTCTAGCGGCAAACACTGATATATTAGCTTTTTATATCGTTTTAATAAGTCTATATTCGATCCACAAAGCCCCCGACAGCCTTGGGATTTTGTTTTGGCTAATATATAAATTATTAGGCTGTAGCCGAGTAAAGAAGAACCTCATTATAAAATTCAGGGTCCGATGGCAACGTACAATCAAGCGGGATATTTATAGAAAGCTTCTAAAGCGTCGATTCAATTACATTACTTAATAGAACAAAATAATTGAAGGGCGCTGCCGGTGATCCCTTTCAGCCATGGCTACACCCTTCGGCTCGGACCTAACCACCAAGTCCAGCCCGCCGGCAGATCCTCATGCTAATACGCCGGAATTTTGTCTCTCATAATTGACTGTATAGTTATCGCCGCCGACGACCTCTTATGTTTCGTGGCCATTGCCCATAGATTAACAGCGACGGCTCACTCGGACATTTTTCTCATACCATGGCTATGTGTCACAGGATTGGAAAGGCTAATGTGACCTCACTGGACAGGCATGATGAGTGACAAGCGAATTGGTCACTACAAGTATGGTTTAGATTCCATGGACGGTCGCCGACTCATTACTAGAGCCCTGTGGCCGAGTAGAATACGACTACCGGATACCCTGCTACCACTAAAGCGAAGTTCTCACGCTTGTCACATAACGTTCAGAGAGCCTTTGTTTGCAAGGCACATATCCACTATGCACTTTTTCATCAGTGCTACGCTCTAGGCCGTTTCGGCTGCTCGAGCCTTCCCCGGGCGGATAAGTTGCTTCTCACCGCCACCCAGAGACATCAACGTCTCGTCATTCCAAGCCTACCCGGAAAATGCACGCCTTGGCACAAAAAGATGCGTCGCAAACTTGAGGTATGGTTGAGCTTCTGAAGACGTATTACGCACTTGTTAAAGTTTGCAGCGTTCTATTCAACGCTTCAGTCGCAGTGTATGATCCAGCCAGGGTTAACTTGACAAGCATTATCATCTTCCCAGGTCAAACTGGCGACACGGCTTTGCAAAGTGGATGACCAATGTTTCGTTGGCACATGTGGGTGGCCGGACCACAAACAGATTTGACGCATTTGCTAGTTATTACAATGTATATAATATGAGTTTGAATTTCCGGCTAGCTACTTCTTTCATAGTGGTTAAAAACGCCATAAAGAGAATGGAGGGGGAGAACATGACTTGTAACGTCTCGTAGGCTGCAGACCATCAAACAAGGTAGCTTTAAATTGGCTCTTATAGTACTACTTTGTCCACAATGACCTCTCATGGAAGGAGGGGGGCAGATGCCGACTGTCCACCTTGAATCCGGAAGTGGATCGCATCCTCCGATGCGGCCCCGCCTGGTCCGTGCTCGGACTCGGCGCTGGAAGGTGGGCCGACACCGATGGATATGACTAATATGGAAAACAGCTGACTATCGCGCCTACTATTGAAAATTTCTTTGGTTCTCTATGGTAGTTTGACGCCTTAGACCTATAAGTTGGACTACGGTTCTATTGCTGTGCACGTGTAGGAGATACACAATTGCCTTTACGCACATGCCCTCTCTCATTCCCAGCTAAGGACTGGCATAAAAAGCTCATCCTGTGGTTGCAGGGATCAAGATGAATAAGCTAGTAAGTAGATACCAAATAAGACAGTGTTACATTCCACTGGCTCTGTAGCAGAGCTAGGTGACTGCGAAAAGAACAAAATGGTCCCGGTTACGACGGTTATTAAAGATACCAACGCCCCTATTGCGGCGGTTTGGGCTATTATTTAGACCTGGGGCCGCATAAGCTTTGACCACTAAACATGATGAAAGCAAGTGTTGAAGGTCTTGGAATTGGATCAGTGCGGGCATTGACATTTAAACCGGGAGAATTCACAGCCTCGGAGAAGCCGGAAAGCGTCGATCCCCTCACATATACTATTTCTTACGCTCTGATCCGGAACCCTGACCACTCCAGGGCTACGTATCCTCGAGGGAGCCTTGCCGGTACGAAAACAAGATGTACATGGTCCTCCGAGTCGGAATAAGTAAGCAAAGTCTTTAAGGCTAAATTTGCAAATTTATCAATAGCATGTGTAGTGAGGCTATTGATTCCAATGACAAACTGCTAGCTACTTGACAGCAGGGATGTCGACTGATATCGGCAGATACTGTACGATAGGTGCATTGGCTAAATCCTTTGTTTGGAAGCTCAAAACCTAACTCGCCATTCTTCAAAGAGACCCTGCATTTAACATGAGAAAGCCTTTAATTTATTAAAGCGGGACGTACATGTAACCAACATCTAGTAGCTGTAGTTTTCTTTTAATAATATTGATTTGTAGCACAAGTAATTCGAAGACAGAGAACAAGGCAAGGCATCACAACGTCAGTAAATTACAACAAGGCGATAAGATTTTCGGACTTGTCACTCCCCCATCTTGTCAAATCTTTTCTTTCAGTCGAGGGGCTATGCAGTCTTTGCCGGAAACCTGTGTCAGGGACATGGATGAGTCTCTGGACAGCACCAAAACCCAGTTGTAATGTCGCCAGAGTGTATCCATAAGCGCATTAGGGATAACCCGTCACATCATGTGCAAGCAGTAGCAACCACAGCCATGGGGACGACCCGTCCAGGGCCGGACATTTGAACTTCCCGTGTATGGATTTGTGCAGGCAGCTTGAGCGTCAACAAAAATCACTATCTAAGCAAATGGCAACATAAATTCAACTCTGCGCGGACTTTTGCATGGAATGGCTACTAGGTTTAGTATCTGACAACCCGCTGTAGATCTAAGCGACTTCAGCCAAGAGAAGATGCAATGGAGCCAACCGACGCTGAATTCTATTTGAGTGCTCCATACAACGGTTAAAGCCCCTTGTAGTGCATATATCAACGTATCCCATATCCCAAGGCTAGTCCTTATCCCTGTTCTCTCCCCTCACATTCCGCAATCGCTCGTAGAATTGAGTCTCTAGACTAGTCTGATATTAGCACTAACTTGTCTAGTTACAGCTACCGAGGCACGATACTTACAACGTACTGGGACGCGATAGAAATCGACCAGTTTGGCTTGGTACCGTGAGGTTTCTTGACATCCCCGAGTATGTCAGCGCCTATCCCCTGAAATACTCTATAGCATGAGAAACAGCTCACCTGTCTCTCCAGACACCTCATAAGCTTATTCCGGATTTCCTGAATTGTATTGGCGGTATCAGAATATCCCCTAATATCGGCCGAGCCAGCGAGCGGGTGGGCCGTCGTGAGTCCTGCCATAATGGCGACGAGAGCAATTGAACACTTCATGCTGATATCTTGCCGGCCGAGACCAGTTTTGTGTTGGAGAATCGTGTGTATTAGTGTCGTCGATACACGTTGTTGAATACGAAGCGCGTGGGTCGTGTCCACGAAAAGGTTCAAATTTGGGAGGAGCTATAGCCCTCTTTATACGATCCACTTGTTTTGGACAAGTAGACTTTATTCTCATGGATTCCATAATCTTCATACTAGCCTCCATGAAGCGCAGGGCTTTTGACCCGGCAAACGCAAAAGCCATGTACCTGCATCTGTGAGATGGCGTGAGGGTGTCCACCAATCCTGGAGACTAGCCCGCCGCCAATGATGCTTTTTCGCAGCAGAAGGAAAGATCTAGAACCCGAATCTTGACTTGGATGGGCGCAACTTAGCACATGTCAACGAGTCATCAATTGCGTCTTCTACGACAAGCCGGGCCTTTTACCGGCAAGGTCCAAACTAACACTAGCCACAAAGGCCAAATTAGAAGCTAGCTAACAAACCCACTAACTATGATAGTAGTCTTTTGACCTGTTGATGAAGCATAGATTTTATTGCGAGACTGCTCCATTCTCTCAACTTGTCAGCACGCGGGCTTTACCGTGTTTAATAACATCCATAGGCTTCAAGTACAGTGGGAGCAAAAGCTATTGGACCAGATTGGGGACTCGGCTATCTCGCTCTATAATATAGTGTACTAGAATTTGTTGGTTGGTAGGCGAATATGGTTCCGTGCTGGGCAGGTTGGAGGCCGTGCTTATGCTGCTTCACTTGCCTCCAGATTGTGAAGGCGCTCGTGGACGGGTTTGTAAACTCGGCTTTTCGCTGGTCTTCTGCCTCATCTTGTTATTTGTCATTCAAGGTGTACCAGCCTTGGAGACTACACAGCAATCCCGCCCAAGAATGAAGGGCTGTTTGTTATCCAGGAGCCCCTGCGCGTTCATCCTCCCGTCCCTTGTATCTTTTCTCGTAATGTGCCTGCGGGCGGTGACATGGTGGCCATCCGCACTCACAGGCATTTCAGCAAGCAAAAAAGGAAGTTCTATTTCCATGTCAATGGTGAGTACATCTCAGAACCGGGTTCACAACCTCAAACGTGACCCGTGACACGAAGTGATACCGCACAAGGGATGTTCATTTTGACTCATGGGCCATATTTATGCAAAAACTTATTCAACTGTATTGTAACCTCCAACTACACAACAGGTGTAGAGCAAGTCTTACACTACAATTTCACGTTGCATGTAGCATGCTAGCTGTATAACTTGTTGTACGCGGGTGACATCAAGTCAACAATATGAGGCTATTCCATCGTTCCGAAACTCTCAAGAAGTCATTAATCGTAATAAAGAGAACCCCCTCATTTTGTCTCATCTGGGCCGACGTTCTAATCTGGTTCCCATATCATCCAATTCTCTCATCTGTGAGGCTCCCCATCACGGCACGTCCCTCGCTTCTATGTTTCAGCTTCGTAGTTTTCACATGCAGCTCAACAAGGGCTTCAGCTTGTCCAACACTTTCTTTTGCGCGTCCGCATCAGCCGTCGTCTTATCGCTCGCATCCCCAACACTAATCGACACGGAACAAGGCGTGCTCTCATGCACTTGTAACTCGGAAGGCAGACGCGAGCCACCACACCAATGGACGTCGGGGGCCGAGAAAATGCCCGATGTGATGCGAGTAAGGACGTACTTGACGTCTGATGCCTTGGAGCAGCTCCCACCCGCATCAATCTTGGGCATGTTCACATTAAGAAAGACGTCGTTGGGCAAGTACGGCTTTCCTGTCTCGATAATTCTCTGGGTGATATTTGCGGAAATCTCGGCGAAAACGGCGCTCTCCAGCGAAGCGGGTGTGTTCCAAGGGTGAGTGGCTGTGTTTGCGCCGGAAAATGCAATGGCAGGAATGCCAGCTTCGTGCGCGGCATAACAAGCTGCGCCGACGGTGCCAGATACCCAGTCAACCAGCCCGATGTTTGCGCCCACGTTGGGCCCGGTGACGACGAGCTCCGGTTTCGCGCCGTTCCAGAGTTTTGGGCCGATGGTGTCGATGCCGTAGCGGGCAGAAGTAGCCGGAAACGAGTTTACCCAGTTGAGATCGGGGCGAGTTGCGTTGGACCCAACGGGGCCAGAGTTGGCTGGACAGCTATCGTACATGCATGGGTCTTTGCGCGGTTGAGGGTCTCTGTCCAAGGAGCCTGACGGCCGCCGTGATACTTTAGTATACAATGGTTATATTTGAATGCAGAAGAGCCTGGTCTGGCGGACAAGCAGAGGTTCTCTCGGAGGAAGGGCGCTCAACCTCACTTACCTCTGCCTGACTGGTTCTCAGCAGGACCTGACAAGACAACTTGATGTCCCATGGCATTCAAAGCGTCATTGAGGACGCGAATATTCCCCTCGGCCCAGCCATCGTCATTGCTCTGTAAAATGCGGATGCCGTACGCAAAGGGGAGTGCGAAGGCCGCGAGCGGCGCCGCGATCTGTGTCAACGATCTCATGGCAACACGTGGCGTGGCCGATGTACTAACGGCCGATCAAAAAAAGGACAGAAAAACGACAAACTAGCCCTCCTTCATGCGAAGCAAATAACGAGTGGGCAGCAAGGGGAAGGGCCTCTCTGATAAAGAATCAAATAGGATATGGAGCGGACAATGTTTCCTGGTGCGCCAAGATGGCATGCAGTGCAAGGGTTTCCGGTGAGGCTAACGAACAAGGTATTGCTTCTTGTTGCTGATAACCTCCACGCACCTAGACAGTGCGGCTGAAGGACCAGATCACCAAGGCTCACAACCTTGTGCAGGCACAAAGTCCAAACCACACCTCGCTAGAAGAATTTGGGGTGGCACACCTGGATGATTGGGTAGGCCATCCGCATTCTTCTAGTATTTATACTCGGTCGCCCATGCGAGATGTGAGCCCTCCTCTTCCTATCACAATACACACAATACATGGCCACGTTGGCCAAGATGAACCCCGGACACTAACCCACAAGTCGTGGAGACAAGTCCTTGAATTGCGTCTATCGTCAACACGGCCTGTGCTAGAATGAGTAGCACGGAGGCGGACGAAGCACACGGATAATATTTGCAAGGCTGGAAAGGTCGAAAGCTAACCAGGGGTCGGACGAAACCAAGCAACCCTGGCAGCCTGATTTGCGTAGTCGTGATTAGGCACGCGAGTTGCAAAAAAGGCCGCACACCCCGCACCTACAACCACACACACAGGTGTGCGGCCTTTTTTGCAACCCGCGTGCACACGTCGACCCCGTCCCTCGTGCCTGCCCTCACTAGCCTCTTTAGATACAGGCACAGACAATTGATTGGTTGCGAGAAACTAAGTTTTGCAGGTCGCCAAGCGCAATTTGCCACCAATCAGGTCCGTGCTCAGAGAAGCTGCAAGCTATGTATAAAAAGAGCAGCGAAGAATAATCCTGACCTCTACTATTGGATGAAGTACTGTATCTTGACTTGTTACTAGACTGAGCTCTACTCTTTTGTATAGATGTGTGCAATGATGTATATTCTGGCCCTCATCCGGTTGACAAACGTGGTCATGGTAGTCCCGAGATGGATTCATCTCCACAGAGCTGCTTGGATAAGAGTCGCCGAGTCCGTGCGCTCACCTGTTTCTTCAGGTCAACTGGTCCGCAGAGTCCTGAACAAAAACTGGAACCATGAGAAAACCTTGGCCAGCTGCGCTAGCGTTGGTGAACTCTGTCGAGAAGCTGACATGCTTGGGAACCAGCCTCGGCCCGACACAGCGGTTTGGGAGTGTATGTATATTGTTCTTTGGAGTCGCTGTCAAGCCAGAGTAACTCGTCGCGGCCCTGGGGATTCTCGGACATGGTGGCTCATAATGGTCTACGGAAAGTATCTTACTCTAGGTGACTACAATATATATACTTGAATAAATTAATATATGTATTATGTGAAAGACAGTCTCTACTAATATCGTATTTTCACGTTAATTAGAATAGCTCTAAGCTCTATTTACTTTAGCCAAGTATTACGTCCCGTAATTGACGAACTAGGCGATGTATAGGAGCTGCTTTTGTAGCTTCCTTTGGTAGTTCCAACCTTACACTCTCCAGCTACAAAAGCAGCACCACCGCCACTCAAGTACACACATCGCCATGGTAGCCCTGGTATCAAGTCGAGTCTATACTTCGCAGAATTCAAAAAGACTTTCAAGATAAAACTCCTCCTATCTAGATCCGCTTGACCGAGGACGCTTCAACAGCATAAGATTGAAAGTATTAACCTGTTATAATAAGAGCAGGATAACTAGGCTTCAAGTAAGGGGTGTAATTTAATCTTTTATAGTTAACTTTAAGGTATTAAAAGTCCTTGGTTTTTTAAGAGGCCTTAAGGGGCTAGAGGTTTTCATATATACAAGAAGTTGGTATATACCAGAGGCCTGAGGCAGCTCTTCGTTGTAGGCTGACCTCGGGCCTTGTGATATCTTCTTTGTTGTTGTGTGACCGTTTCTGGCCCAACGCCTTTATTGTGGTCTTAACCGTGTGACACCTGTTTCTTGGCACCACGCCAAGTCGTACTGCTCGCATTAGAGTAGAATACTTTTTGGGAGGGTCATCATGGGTTCCCGAATCCTAATAAAAAACTTGTATTTTCGGTTCGAGATCCCCCAAACCCAGTACCACAACCGCATGTAAGCCACTCCTCTCTCCGAAAGCCGTTGTCAAACACCCAACAGAGCTCCGCAGTCGAAATTGCTAAATCAACGCTTTTTAACTTGGGGCGCTTTCAGGTTATCAGAGTATTACAACTACCAGTACAGCATAGAACACAATCAATTAACCGTAGTGAATGCTTTGTAATTTCTATGCAGAAAGACCTCTGCTATTGTTTCCTGACCACGTAGAGCTAACCGGGCTGACAAAACCGTCCAGAGCCTTTGAACGCGGCGGCACATTCCTTCATCCTATTCCATCATGTTGCATTTCTGAAACCTTTATCTGGTGTATTTTTTACAGTCTTTGTCTTGTGGACCTTTTGCAGCCTTTGTTCACCCAATCTTCTACAATCTCCATCTCTAGTAAATCTTTGAGCCTTTGTCTAGTGGGTCTGCTGTAGGCTTCATTTACCCATTGTGCTTTTAAAACCTTTGTGTCGTGATTCTTTTAAAACCTTTATTCGTAACGCTTTAAAAACAATTATCTGGTAATTCTCTTGAAACCTTTGTCTTGGCTTTAATTGTTCAATCATCTTTATTATATTAGCGCGGAGTTCTGAACAAATTTTTGTAAAACGATTAGCTTAGCGAGCTATTTAATGCCCGAAAATCCACGAGAGACAGCTAACTAAGAACTCTACACTCATTTCTCTATTTTTCTCCCTGATATTCTATTAAATCCTTACTATTGGCGGTAGGCGTTGAGACATTACACCCCCATCGGTAAGTGCGTTGGAAGCAGAAGACTAGACTTCTGTTTCTACTATAGGCGAAGAGGGCGGTGGCGCGGTAGTGGCAGATAGTCCTCTTGGTAGCTGTGCAATGACGACCGCTAGAATGCTAACATGCTTGGCACAGGAACGAAGAGCAACCATGGGCCAGAAGTCTTTCGATATCGTGGTGCATCTAAAGGATAGGAAGAGTACATGTCTTGACTTTTTCAGCTTTTGGAGGAAAAGTGAGGGCGAGAAACTCATTGAGTTTCTGGGAGAGAATAAGGGCTTTGGAGAAATTTATAAGTATTCCGAGAGTGAGGGAGTGATGAACTTGATATTTCAAGGGGTATTGCCCCCGGGTGTTCTCCTCCCACCAATGTTCCTCGCCGTCGTTACAAGTCTGAATGAAAGAGGCTATAAAGAAAGAGTCAAGCGTCAGGGGGAAGATTATCATTTTGATTTCGTGGGAGCCGACTGGGCAAAGGGAAAAATGGTTATAAACTGACGGAAAAGAAGATTTGGATGCCCACAAGACAACCGAATATGGAATAGGCGCCGGAAGTGGACGAGCCAACCTGGTGGAACTGTGACATGTCTTTGTACAAGAGCAGGGATTTGAGGTACAATGTGGAAGCTTGTTTTGGGGCCATCCCAGATCACTATTCATACACACGTCAAGGCGGACGGTAAGGCGGGCCTCTGCCACCGCCGACAATGTGTTATAACCCACTCTCTCACAACCATGACAAGAAGGCCGAATACACTCATTTAACCACGAGAACTCCCGATGTCGTGATACATTGTATAATATATTTTAGGTAGCGAGGCTCCCCCTCCTTTGAGAAACAATGTGCGCCACCCCAATCCCCCTGGAATTTGTGCAGTGGAACCACTTGTGGAATAGGAGAGTCATGCGTGGTTCATCTTCGTGCCCGAGGGCGCAAAAACACGGTAACTTTTGAAAAGTGTCTTCCTGCTTGCATAACCAATCAAGTAGGCCCAACCTCGTAAACTATAAAGCGGAGGAGACAATTGGACGCGTGCTTCAAAATAACTTGGGCTCCATTAAGAGGACTAAATCATCCTCTCCGTCTTACTATCCTTTTAATGCCCAGCCTAATAAAATCAGAGCAATCCACCATGTATGAATGTGCCGATTATTACCTCAAGTCCCGACCAACTCACTGGCAGTGCCCGAGGACCAGAATCACATCCTCTTCTATTGTGAGCAGCCGTGTAGAGAAAATTATAATGATAGACCTCCATAGCTGTGCTTTCCTTGGCTCAGACTCTGGTGACTTGAAGCATTCTTTCAAAGATAGCCCTCTTGGGGGCACACCAACATCATCCATGTCGAGGCCATGGTTAATACTTTTGTAGTCTGGGAGACGCTGTTTCCCCACCGGGTGCGATAACCCTGATTAGGCATGGCGTCAACTGGTCCTTTCCGCTATTTGCTCGTCTTAGTAACGCCTCACTATCTAGAGGTTGCAGTATAAATACGTTAAACTTTCTATTGCTTTTCAAACTTATATTCTTTAGTTTAGTCTCCTTTTCAACTGATAACTTTCTCTCTCTTATGTTTACTTGGTGTAATGCCATAGATGTGTTAGTTATTATGGTATGTACCTCGGGACATTCACCTCATTTCAAAAAAGAGGCCGTTGCGTAAAATATTTTCTGACGATTACAAATTGAATCTTGGGGAAAATCTATATTTTGAGAGAACCTAATATGTAGTATATCATAAGACACTACAGCTTCTGTAATGCTCCAAACTTTGTTGAGAAACAAAGAAACCCATTAATAGCCGGCGGAGCTTAAACTTCAGTGCCGAACTCCATACAACGGCTAAAAGTTACATGATCCTCCTCAAAGTAGGCGCAGGACTTGGCTTTTATATACGCTTATTCCTGGCACTTGTTGGTCCGGTTATTGCATGAGCATAAGCCGCATTCCTATTATATTATTAGTGTCACATATTAATGCTATTAGCAAAATCTCTTACTTTGTCGCTGGAGCAAGTCTTGCCAACAGGGCAGTAGTTTGGTCCAGTGAGTGAAGAGTCGTCAATGGTGTTGGTGTCGACGCCATTGTTGTCGAGCTGGTTTGCCGTGGCATCGCCAGGGAGCTTAGCAGCGGCAAAGCCGGCAAAGATGGCGAGAAGAGGGAGATTGACCTTTATTTTGAATGATTTGGTAGTAAAAAGACAAGAGACTGGAGTAGTCAGAAGAAGAACTAGATAGGTGCTTGTCTTGAAAGGTTTGTCGAGAGAAGCTTGCTGAATTGAAAAGTAAATTGCAGGTGCAAACTGTGCTCTTTATACCCTTTTCTGCTTCGGAGCTCCAGCCATTGCATACATATTCTGAGACTTTCCTGACAGTGTATCCACCTTGCATTATGCCGTGTCTTGTCATGTATCCTGAAAGACATCGACACGAGTCAGACTCATTCGCATTGTATTTGCCGCGTTTGTACTGGGATCGGCCCGGGCCCTCGTTATAAGCGGAAACTTCCATTTTGAATAATATCCGATATACTATCATGGGGCAACCCGGGGAAAACTATGGAAATAGCGATTAAATAGCGTGGCGTTCCTGGAGCATTGGAGGCAATGAACACCCTGATAGCCAATGACTAGTAAAGCTGTGGCCCAACACCTCCATGTTGGCGCTTGCACTGCCGTTGCACCAGACATGCCATGACATACAGCCACTCGCAATTACTATTTGCCCATGTTGAGGTTCCCAACAACTCCACTGCAAGTGCGTATAATGGTCAGGGGTTATTCCAACTAGGGTCAGGGTCTTGGAATTGGCAAGGGCGGGGGCTCATTGTTGGGCTAATCTGGTACGAGGACGTGGGCAAACTTCCACCATCTCTCACTATATATCATGCAGTCTTATCAAGAGTGCCAAATCAGGGTCAGTCTTGTCGCAGTTTGCAATGGAAAGAGGCCAATAAAACGTGCGACCTACATTCTCCCGGTCCGTCTATCGGCACATGGCAAGGTTAGTGTCGCCTCAATTGAACCTTCCGAAGTGCAACAAATCCTTCTCATACGCCCGAAGCGCTCGACGCTACAGTTTGGATGTAGGCTTCTTTGTCTTTACTGCTCTCTTGGATAATGTAGAGAACATCGACCCAGCGGTTAGGCCTCTCATGATTTTGACGGCATCCACCAGAGTATGTGGAAGATTTCAACAATTCTCGCCTTCCAAGACTGTATGGGTTCGTTTGAGGAGTACTAATTGAGACCTCCTTAATAATAGCTCTGAAACAGTGTGTTGCTTTATCTCTCCTGGACGCGTACATATAGTAAAGCACTTCCTGCCACTTCTGCAGCCTCTATATTGAGTATTATTACGGACAGTAGTGTCTATCTGGTGGGAAGCATGGTGTACAAAATCCCGGTGATGAAGTACAGCTTTTACAAAGTCATTGTCGCACCGGGACTCGAGCAATATATCTGCAATTTCCATCCGCCCTCCAGGACCAACATGGTCACACTTATAAATGAGTCATTGCCTGCACGGCCCCGACCTAGGGTCGCAACAGGCGCAAATTGTCATCAATATCTGAAGCTTTTCTTTTCTTTTTTCTTTTTTTTTTTAATACTCGTGGTACATATTTAGCTCAATTGCAACTCGAGGCTGTAAGCATATGTCGTACGTAAAGTCAAATCAGAGGAATACAACCACTCGTCTTTGACATGTAAGAAAACCAAATATTTAGATAAACATGAAAAATGCCTTGGATGGAGCCACCTAGAATACAAATTGAGCCATCAATGCCAAGATCCAGGTGGTTATTCGAAAATCTGTATCGTTTCCAACGTCACCCAACTGAGAAGGATACCCAACTCCCTGATCACGCAGGAGATGCATAGTTTCTCCTCCTTGAGCTGGTGCTTTCCGGCGTCGCAGCTGCATCCACAACGTCTGCCTTGGGGACGGCCTTGGCTGCGCACGCCCAGAGGAGTGGCGTCTGGCCCTCGGACTCGCCCTGGCGCCGGTTTCCAGGGCGCGGGAACACTCGCAACGACCTTCAAACTTATCACACAGCTCCCGGTTCCTGTTTCGTATCTTTCTCCGGGCCTCTTCCATGGTCAGGAACACATCACCTATGCATTCAGAGACAAATTCGTCCGACGTGTCATCGGCATAGTAGCAACCCTCGACAATGAATTTATAGCTTCCTAAAAACTGTCCAAACTGCGACAAGTCTTCAGGTGCTTGCTCAGGAACTCTTCAGGTGATAGGGGACCGGTGTATTGTCGCTGGGACATCTTGGTCACAATTTTCCGCATTGCTTTGATCTTCTTTTGCATTGCCTGCCAGTTCTTTAGCCGGATTCCCCACGTCTCGGTCTTCAGATACTGCGTCACCTCGTCTCTCAAGTCATTGCCGCTCACGCCGTCCATGAGCCCGATAGCTAGACCCACGAGAAAATAATTATACGGAGAATCTAGCACACCAACGGGGGGAATGTACGGATTGATGATTAGCGGAGGTGCTGTAGGGCTTAGGATGTACGGGTTGTCGGTGTAGTAATTGTCCAGATACTCAATCTTTCTGACTTCATATATCCTGCCGAGCTTCATAGCAGCAACAAGTCGAAGTCCCTTGAGCAAGTCGAGGTTATCAACGGGGGAGATAGAATCATCAAGCTCCTCTTCCTTGAGACGACCCTGGAGGAATAATGCAGTCTGGTGAGTGTGTCGGATAAGAGTGTAGAAGCGGTAAAGACCTGGTATGCCCTCGGTCGATACCTCCGTTATCTCCGTGTCAAAGTAAGTACAGATCCAGCGTCTCTGGCTGAGTGAAACTCATTCCCTTGGACTGGCCGAGAACGAAGGCAACATCTAATGCCCGTGGCAGTGGTGGAAGGGGGTTCCCGAGTTGTCTGCCAACCTCCTGCATCTGCGCGCGAGCCTCGGAATAAGGGTCAGCAGGCTGGGTCAATGGACCGCCGAGCCAAGCGCCAACAGAATCGTCGGCTGTGCCTCGATCAGGATAATTCCGGATAAACGTTGCCTCATTGATCTGCTCGATGAGCTTGTTATTGAGCTCCTTGGCCAGCTCTGACACCGAGAAGGCTTTACCATTCGCGAACTCTTGCGGGATGCCTAAGAGAAACTCGCGCTGTCGGCGCGCAACCACATGCCACTTGTCTTGTTGGATCCTATAAATAGCTTTCTGGGTTCCGGTTTCGAGCTCGGCCAGGTCGATTGGCTCTCCCTCGCCGCCCAACGCATTAGAACCGTGGAGGTCGGGCGAGCCACTCGCATTTAACGCGCCAATTCTCTGGGCGGCCTCGGACAGCACGCTTACAGTACCAATTACGAAAGCGCTCTCCAGCTTGGCAGCAAAAGACTGGGTTGGGTCTGTATAACTATGCGAGTAGACGGATGCATACACTCTACTCAGCGCCTCAGCCTAGGATTCATCGCGCTCCTCTCGCATCTCGTCTAGCGCTGGCGGCTTGGGAGGACGCTGGAAGAAGCTGATGATGACTCGGATAAAGTGAAGCGCTTAACCAAACGGAGCCAAGGGACCGAAAACGAGGACATCCGCGATGCCGCACAAGACGGCAGCTATTGTGACAAGGTCAATATCCCGGCCCCCCTCCACGCCGGCGGATGTGTTCACGGCACAACCTATAAAGGGGATAATAGCCGTAAAGGCAGGCGAGCTTGTCCAAAGCAGTGCTATCCGACAGCAAGGACTGAACGATGCCCTTCACCCACAGGACACTCCCAACCGCTCCGCCCAAGCTTTCAAGAGTACCAGAAGCCATGCCGCCGTTTCCGGGGACCAGTTCCGGCGAAGTAGGCTCCAGTGCCTTGTATCCGAGCCGCTGCCGAACTTCGTTGAACGTCGTGGCCCCCTTCTTCTCCCACGAGTCTGGTATCTTGGGCCGGCGTTCTCCAATGGTCTTATCGAACTCCTCCACCGACACCTGGTTGGCCCTCTTTGCCCTTTCGACGAAGTGGTCAGTGGCGGCTCCCTCCTCTGCCACAAGAGTCTCGGGACTCGTCACTCCTTCTGACCCCTCCGTAGCCGGTGGGAGGTCTACAATTTCCTTCAGCTCGGGAAATTCCCAGGGAAAGCAGGCATCGCTGCTCTGTCGTCTGTCCAGTCTTCCCACCTCGCGCTTGCGAGCTTCGGGCTTGACGCACACGAGTGGCTCAATGCTTTCAAGCGCCGTCCTGAGCTCCTTGATGTTTTCCTGGTGGCTGCCCCTGACACGTTGTAGGTATTTCCATCTGAACCAAGACGCTTTGATCCAAGGATTCTCGGCAATGGCGTTGGCGAATGTCTCTTGCATGTCTATCTGCCCCTGGGCATTTTCCTTGATAGTAGGCGTGTAGTCGGCCAGGGGTTTGAAATCCGCCACGATTTTTTCCGTCACCGGCCGACCATCAACATGTTGCTCCCAAAGTTCCTGGAGCTTCTCTTTTGTAATGCTACCCTTGTTCTTGGCGACCCTGCCGTCAAAGTCGATGGCTGTGGCCCCATCAGTTGTCACAGCTGTTATCTCGAACTTGTCGTACGGCTTGAACTTGTCAAACGTGGCCCTAACACGGCCGTCGAACACGCGCTGCATGGATAGCACGATGTTTTCTCTGACATCCTGGAGCTTCTTTCGAGCGCTTCCCCCGTGAGCGTCTTGTGCTTGAATCCTTGCTTCTTTTGCAAGATGCCTGAAAGATTGGTTCCTAGTTTCTTGAATAGATCGGGGTAATTATTTGCGTTGCTGATGATGCGAGAATCTGCTATCTCGCCCGTCTTCCCTGCCTGTACAAGCAGCTCGACCGTGGGCTCCCGCCATAACAGAACCGCGCTATAAGTTCCCTTGAACGATTTTCGTATAGGCGTTGGAGCAACCGAAGAGATGGATTCGATCCCGGGCTATAGCACACCTCGATTATGCCTCTCATATCATAGCCATGCATACGACGAACAATCATGGGCAAGGTTTCAGAATATAGGCTTCATCTGTGTATAGTGATTATTCCCGTCTCAAATTATATAAACCCCTCATCAAGTCGGTGGCATAGAGTGTTTGTGCATCCCATGATTCGCACATCAAACTATCCGCACTCTTTCTGCCCGCAACCCTCCAGAGTCTACCACAATAACCTGAATACCAGGTGGTCCGCTTTGAAGCTGCTTCTCTGGCCCGTAAGTCAAAAATGATGACAATCCTTGATATGTGAAGCCGGGCCTGACCAACTTGGCGAGCGACAGTTGCCGCGTCCTTGATGGCCGTCTCTGCGAACGCCAACGCACCCGGTTATGCCGCGAGTCAAAACCTCAACCAGATTCAAGAGGCAGAGCCGGCACCTGCCGTCGTCACGGACTTTGACGAGACCTTGGACGGGCTGGTGGATGAGTTGACCGCACTTCTCGGAGATGTCGTGGAGCTGGCAAAGGAAGTCAAAAAGCATTCCGATCAAGCCTAGTCAGCATTTGGGGGTTACCGAATAGCCTCCTGTATCTTTTTGCTTTAGACACCATAAAATTTTGGGGACGCATTCATCATTCATTCACACATAAGAATTAGAAATTACACCCTGCAGAGGCCGCCTATTATGATCCGCCCAGCAATAGTAGTATAACCAGAAATGGAAATCCCCGTGTAGAATACGTAGTCTCAGACCCACCTATATCCGCCCGGGGAGTCGTGCTAATCGGACGACTAAAAATGCATACCCCTGTCATGTCATATGTCATTAGCTCCCGCACCCGCTCGCTCCCAAGCCTGAATTTTTGTCTCGCGAAAACATGGGCGTGGCCACACCACACAAACTATTCCATGTGTTGAGACCCCTTGCATACCATGCGACAATTTTGCATTTGGAAATGAAGCAATTCACTCAACTACCTAGTAATTAATGAATCAATTATAAATCGTCACCCTCAGCCGAGGTGCGTCATGGAAGACCTGATGTAGTTTCTTATACAAAAGACACGACGGCATGGATTGCTTGCATGTCGCTGGCGGCGGGAGCAGCTCACCCCATCCCGCGCTACCTAGTCTAAATACCTAAATGCACCGTCATTGCATAACGAAAAAGAAATGGAAATGCCAGTATTCGCTGCTATATTTCAGCTACCTACCCCGGCTCCCCTAAGCACAGCGTGGTATTCCAACTCCGCCACCCATTTTATATATCGAGGTATCATTAAGCGTAGCATACAAAACTTTTTTCCGAAAAAAGAACACCCATTTTCTCGAATTGCAGGGGGAAAACACGACAAAACCGCACCCCTACGCTGTTCCTGTTATCGTCTAATCCAGAACAACTACTTCGTTGCCCTGCGTCACTCCGGGTCCGCTAGTTACCGTGCTCCGAATGGCTTCATCCACAGCCAACAGCATGTTCACAACGCCGTCCTGCGGACGACCAGCTGCGCCTGTCGAGAGGCCGAGCCAATTTTCGCCTCGTTTGTTCCAGATCGGTTGCAAGGCTGTGGAAACGCCGTCTTCAGCGTTTGGTTCGGCGTCGGATCGCCAAACGTGCCACCATGCCTGGCTGCGGCGGGGCTGCATTTGTACTTCCAGGCGGATAGGCTTCTTGAGCGTCTTGGGGTCTGATGTGATGGTGTATTCGACGCTCATCCAGGCAACTGTCTTCATGGAGAATTCTATACGGCCCTGGCCAGCAGCCTGAATCGGTTCCCATTCCGTTTCCATCTCGTCAATGGCCTGGAGGGCCGGCAGAGACGCAGGGAGCCAGGCAGTCAAGACTCCGATGCCGCCATCACTATTGACCAGCTGTCTCATCAAATCGAGCACCCGGAGATGGGGATTACCCTTCTCAATTTCGATGTCGATGTCATCCTTGGACAGATCCAAAACCACACGCCAACGCTTGGGCGAGTCTTCCATAACCTGGTCTTCATCATCGCTAGTCTGTTTGGTCTTGAGTTCGCGGTAATAAAATGTTATTTGCCGTAGAGTCACTGACTCAGTGGTAATGGTGCCATTGGCACTCTCCAACGCTTCCAAAAAGTTGACGAATCGGTCAATGGCTTTGATTCGTGACTTGAGCGTATCGAGTATTGGCCTGCCTACTGCGCGTTGTATACGCAGGGCGAACTCGCCCCGTTTAGGGTTGTAAGATACATCGCGGTCCGCGAGGCCGTCGAGCGAAGCAAACTTGGAAGGTTTCCTAACTTTGAGAATTGCTTCCGATGTACAAATAAGCTCATTTTCTTTGGTTCCGTCATCAGCATTTTCAGGCTTTGACAGACATCTGATGCCCCTGAAAGTAATGCTGACAATATTGTCTGCCCACGCTTTCTTTCGCACCAGGACAGCACCGGACGCTTGTCGGATAAGTGACAGGAGATCCAAGTTATCGAGTTGCCCTTCGCTTTTTGACAAAGTGTCCTCCTCTGGCTTGCTCTGGTCAAAGACCATGGAGGGAAACAATGCAGAAAGTGCCACATCGGTTGATGGCAGTCGCACTGTTTGAGATACAGACAGGCTAATTTTATTACTTGACCTGCTCTTAATTTTTTGTCGGTGCAATTCTCGGAGGTCGACTGATTGGGCAATGACTCCTGTGGTAAAGAATGCCAAATTCTCCCAGAAAACATCTGACAAGTCGGGGTAGCCGTTGTTGAATGGTAGTTTTGCCTGGAATCTAAGTGGTTTGCTTGCTCCGTTGGGATTTCTATAATCCGGGTTAGCCATCGCGAATAGATAGATCACAGGGCATAATGGTGGGGAAAAAAGGCTTACGACTCGAGCAGCCACCACTCGTCGCCATTTAGGCTCAACACAACGACCACGAACCAATTTGAACCCCACCCGTCCTTCTGCAAACAGATGACCCGAGTCCAGTCTCGCACCTTGATTGCAGATTTCAGTTCTTCCGCAGCCAATGGTGGTTTTCTAACGAACCATCCCATCAACGTCGCCCGACAGTGCAACTCATCCTCCATGATCGCACAGCGAAGAACTTCCAAGCAGTTGAGACCATCTTCCGCGGGGTTTTTTCCCATGTTAAGCTGGTGCTCTGGCTGTATAGTAAACCGTGAAGGTGGTTTTAAAGCGAATACGCCCGTCATAGGTTCGAGTAGCATCGAGGCTTCTCCGCTGTGTCCTACTTGTGTCGTCAAGCTGGAAAACGCAGGGTCGGTCCTCGATATCCGAAGAGCCATACTGGCTTCATGATTCTTGAATCGTGCCACTGTCAAAAGCTTATCGTGTATACTAGTAAGGATGAGGTCGATGTGCCGAGCAATGACATTTGTTAACAGAGCTTCTGCCGAGAGCTCGTTCACATTGAACTCAATCTCTACATCTTTCACCTCCTTGTTGTCTCGGTACCATTTTACCACCAATTGGCTTGTCGATGAGGCAGCCTCTTTGCCGTTTCGTGAGCGATTGCTGTTGACTGCCACTATAATCCAGCTCTTTGACCCCATGGTTGTAGACCGTCCCGTCCAGTACTGTATTGAAAGCGCCCGGTTCAGTGGTTCCACATTCAATGTCCCTGTCCAAGAGGTGCGACTTAGATGCATTGCCTGTCTTTTCAACTCATGGATCTTGGTCGTTAGGACAAGCTCGTGGAGAAACTGGTAGCAGCCCAGTAGACCTTCTTTCCCGAGAACATCATTCACACAGTTTTCCAAGTAATTTCTTAATGATTCGGGGATTGACGAGGCTGCTGGCGTAAAAGCGTATCGGAAGTCGATGAACCAGAACTGCTTCTCAAAATCTTCATCCGCGATGGTCAAGTCAACCTCAAATTCGCCTTCAACCTTGAATGTAACTCGTCCGGAACCGATCTCGTAGTTGCGAAAGTGATACGGAATCTTGTCGAAGTCGTCAAGGTTGAGTCTCAGTGACAGCAGCGTGTTCAACTCGTTTATCCACTTCAGCTGCACCTCCGGTGTTAGGGTGGGCGGTTCGATATATCCAAGCTATCAAACCCGATTAGCACCTCCATGTGAGATCTCATGAATCAAACATTGCTGTCACTCACATCAGGCATCCAAGGAGCTTTTCCGGTGGAAAGCACTTGGAGAGCAGTCTTTAAATCCGGGCTTGGCATACGGGCAAATGTCAGGTCCCTTTTCACATTGACCATTTCGTCGAGAGCGGCGTCGTAAAGGATCCTTTGTTGATCTATGTGAAACTTGAGATCAATAAGTTTGCTGACCAGATGAGCCTTCCTGCTCCATTCTGCAATAACGAGGGCCTTGAGCCACTTTCCATGCCATTCTTGTGCAAAGTTAGTCAGTGCCCCCTTCTTCCTCAAGTTATCTGCCGAGCTATCGTCTGGTCCGCTGGATGAATACGATGAACTGCCGTTTGCCGCCGCCGCAGGTAAAGGCATCTTGGCCATCTCGGCGATTTTGTCCTGGAGGGCATTGTGTGAGGCCTGTGCTAGGCGCGTAAGAAGGAGTGATAAAGGAACAAATCCTTGAGTAATGTGTACGATTTCGTCTGGGAGGTCGTTCATGCGGCTTATAACTCCTTCGGCTTCTCGGTTTTGATTTGATTCTTGCGGTCGCGATTCGTCGTTGCCGTTGATAGCTTTGGCACTACCATCTGCCGCTGTTGCAGCAGAAGCTTTCTCCTTCGGAAACCCTGGATTCTGCGGTGTGCCATTGGCACCGTTAACACCGTTCATGGAGGAATCCCTATCATGATCGGTGCGCGTGCCATTGTGGCCGCTCGATTCCATGGTGATGACGCCGGGCATTTACCCTCCTCCAACGGCCCGCCTCTCCGGAAACAGATTCCACGACCGTCGCCCCTGACAACTTCGTTCGGCAAACGGCGGTGGTTCTACGTCGTGAAAGGATATTTTTGCCAACCATGGGGGCCTGAATTCGGTTATTCCAGAGGTTAGCGCAAGAGGCGCATGCTCTCTGGGACTCCCGTCCGCAGTGTCCAGCGAAAGGCGCTAAAGCACGTGGAGGCGTCGCATGAACCAAATCAAGAGCCCTTTGGCTACTGGATATTCCGGTGTCGAGGAGAAAGAAAGCGGTCTCCGGCGGCTGTACGGACTGAGGTGAGGTTCGCGTGTCGGGGTCGTGAGCCAGGAACAAAGACCTTGTCTCGAAGACTTTGGAGAGTGACAAGGGGAAGATCGACGTGACTAGAAAGTGGGGATCGTATGAAGTTGTAGTATTGATACTGATACAAATGTAAGTTGATCTGTTGACGCTAGAATTCACTTTTCTGAGGGATGCGATAATGTTCTAGGTGATGCAACGCGCGATTGCAGTGATTCTGATGCACGGAGTGATGATTGCGATCATGGCTGCTGTGGTTCTACGCCTCTTGGACAAGGCCGGGTCATGTGAGAGCAGGCGCACGAGCCACATTTTTCCATTCTTGGGCGCTTGGCTCATTACATAATCAGCCTCCTTCGGTAGCATGCGGAGATGGTTCGCCCGTCGGCAAACTAGCCGTAATGGAGTATCGCGGAGGCAATTAATCCCATCACAATACAGAAATTTAAAGAGGCACTCATTTCAACACTTTATGGATAATATCTGGTCCAAAGCCTACATTTGAGACATTTTTGTTGCGCCAAAACTACCATAAGCTGAAATTGAAAAGGTTGCTCTATTTATCCGGCCACGTTCCCTATCCGCTGATGGACATTAATAATCAACAAGCGTCACATGGCGCTTCTTTTCTTTGATGGGCCGTCAATGGAACGACTTCAATATTCCGACTACCAATTCACTCCCATCTAAGCAATTTGCATGGGTGTTGCCGCTTAGCTGACATGGAGTTAGCTTGCAATTTTATTGAAACGTTTCCAAAATAGTACAGACATGGTAACAATGACAGCGACAACTTACAACTTGTTTGGTGGTGCAGCCGTAGTCGTGGGCCATTGATAGCCGGCAGCATCACTGAACTTATAGCCGTACGAAGCAGTGAAATCATCGAGAACAGCAGGGCCGCGCGAACCTAAAACACAATGAGCATCAGTCTACCAAGCCGCAGCAGAGAGTCTTGAGGCTCAACATACCATATGGATACTCCATAGGGATAATTTCCTTGTTGTCATCCAGGTAGTGGAGCAGGGGAGTGAAAATGCGCCAGCTGGCATCGAGCTCATCGTCACGAACAAAATTGGAGTGGTCGCCCTTGAGGCAGTCCAGGACGAGAGACTCGTAAGCCTCGGGAATCTTCAAATCCGAGAATCGTCGTCGGTAAGTAAGATCCAGCTCAGTAACCACAGTCTGCATGCTCAGGCCAGGCAGCTTCGAGTTCATCTTAATGTACACACTCTCGTTGGGCTGGATGCGCATAACCAGCTCGTTTCGCGGAATGTCCTTGAAAATACCAGAAGTGACATCCTTGAACTGGATTCGAATCTCTGTCTTTTGCTCGTTCAGGGCCTTGCCAGCCTTCATGATGAAAGGAACACCGTCCCAGCGCTCGTTCTTGATGTACGCAACCAAGGCACAGAAAGTGGGGCATCTCGAATCTTGGGGGACAGTATCGTCTTCCTTGTATGAAGGTTTGCTGCCGTCCAGCGACTTCCCGTATTGTCCAATGATAACATTCTTGGGCTCTATGGCAGGGATAGCACGCAGGACGCGCACCTTTTCATCACGAATATCTTCCGAGTCGAATGAAATGGGTCGCTCCATGGCCAGGAGAGTCAAAACCTGCAGCAAGTGGTTCTGCATGACGTCTCGAATAATGCCAAACTCATCAAAATATCCTCCACGTCCCTCAGTGCCGAATGGCTCCTTGAAAGTGATTTGAACATTATCAATGTGGTGTCGATTCCAAGTTGCGCCGAGGAAGGAGTTACCAAATCTGAGAATCAGAATATTCTTGACCATTTCCTTACCAAGGTAATGATCGATACGGAACAGCTCCTCTTCCTTCCAGTCAGGCTCGAGTGACTTTTGGAGTTCACGGGAGCTTGCGAGATCCTTGCCGAAAGGTTTTTCAACCTGAAACAACGCCAGTTAGCAGGCCATGTGGTGTACTTGGCGGGCAATAGAAAGTGGCTGGGGGGTCACGTCGACGCACAATAACCCTGGCGATACCCTTGGGAGGGTAGCAGCACTTCTTCAAATGCTGCGAAACAATTGTGAAGACGCTGGGAGGAAGAGCCATGTAGAACAATCGGTGAGTCTCGGGGCGGCCCTTTTCAATTTCGGCCAAGTGGTTGTTGAGGACCTCAAAGGACTCATCCTTGTCGTACTGGCCCGAGATGTATGAGCAAAGACCCAAGAAGTTCTCGAGCTGCTGCTCAATCTCCTTGGTAGGGGTTTTGATGTACGACTTGATGCGCTTGAGGTACTCCTCATGGTCCATCTTGGTACGCGCATATCCGATGATTCTCACATCTTTGGGCAGAAACTGATTTCGATACTGGTACCGGTTAGCACAACAGATGCTGGCGATTCGATTGAGCTGGACGGCGCAAGGTGACAGCTCGGAAGGATAATTATGCTCACCAATCCAAAAAGCGCTGGGTACTAAAGGACAAGGTAAGCAGCTTTGTTAGCGCAAACGTGACGGCAGAAAACAGTTGCATTGGGGGGGGCGCAATATGAGGCCGTACTGTCTTCTTCTTGGCCAAATCGCCTGAGGCGCCCAGCACGACAATGGACGTGTTCTCCTTCAGCTCCATGGTTCTGCTGTATACCGACGACTAGAATCAGCACAAGGCGCGCGACAAGAGGGATTGTGAAGCTCAGGGTCAACGAGAGTCTTGGACTCTTGATCAAGTCCTCCCCACCCAAAAACCCGGGCTTCCCAGCAATGGTGGGGTAGACGTACGCTGCCTGGGTGTGGTCCATGATGAGCTCTGCAAATCGCACCGGGCGACAAGATGAAGGCCTGCGAGGATAGAGTCGAAAAGGGGTAGGACAACGGTCGTGGGATCAACCTATGTTCGATAGGAGGGGTGCAGGTGAAAGGGAGAAGGAGAGGCGAAGCAAGTGTTTTCAAGGAATGATGAAAGTTGTTGGGCAGTGGACTCGGGCTACAGAGGGCCGGATAAGCTGGGACGGAGTAAATAATGACCTCAGGACGGGCGTGTTTCGGTGGGCAGCCAGCCCCAGTCAATTCCCCAAGCTGCGATGCACTTTGTGCATGCAGTCAGTAACTACCTAGGTACTTAAGTACTTAGTAATGAATCTACTTACTTAAGTAAGTACTTAGGTAGCACTATCCGGCGGCAAAATTCGAGCCCCCAGCTCCCAGCGTTGGAGGGGTAAACACCAGACAGCACTTGAGCCGGGACTGAGGGGCAAGTAATTGAGGGGGGCACGAGGCTTGGAGTCGGCGTCGACCGTGACTTCCTTGAGGGGACGCTGGGTTCTGGTTCCCACCAGACTGGCACACCAAGCACGTCGTAGCTGGCTTACGGTTCCATGACATAGCAATTGCGCATCATCACTTCATCAACAATGGAAAACCTTGCTTGTCGCGTCCGCTCCGCTTCCGGTCCTCAGGTGCTGTCCCACGCAGTGCTTGAGGTGCTGATCACGGACAAATCGCGGCAATCACAGTCCCCGCCACGATTTGTCTTCAGACCTCGAGTCTCAGGACAGGCCATCAGGTCTCATTTTCCCGTGTCGCCAATGCTCCAGCCAATGAACGTTTTGCTCACCTGTTTTGGCCGTCACTACCGCTCACGCATGCTCAAAGAAAGCTGGAGTACTCCGTACGGAGTAAGCTTCTGCCACTTCCTTGCTTGCGCCATGATATCCACTGATGCTCATCTGCCCGCGCCAGTCCGGTGCCTGTCCAGCGTGTCCGAGCCTTCCGCCTCCCAGTGCCACTCGCACACTCGCACTAAGCTCCAACTTGTACTCCCTGTCCTTCACTGAGATTCGCTCGGTGTTTGCCGTCTATGGTTCATCCGACAAGCTCAAGGTCAACTTGGCTGTGAGTTGACGGTGGCTCTTACAAGTTTCAATTGCCATGGTTTGTTCACCAGTCTCGGTACTTGTCCATTTGCACCAGACGCTGTGCATGTAAAGCTCTTGCAGATGTCAGTATCTCTTTCGAGGGATTTTCCCGCTCAGCGAACTATTTTGTTTCCCTATTGCTTGTTTACCAAAGAACCCTTCACCCAGAGCCTCAGATAGTCGACAATTCACGGCTTTCTTGTAGCAACCTCTCGTTCCTGGCATGACTTGAGCCCCGTGGCCAGCATACCGTCCACGAATGGCCATCGTCAGATCCGCCAAGGATACTGCACACTTCTTCGCAACAGTCGCTCAATGCGAAAGCTAGTTGCAACGTAGCTTGACCTCGTCGATATTCGGAGTTACTAGTATGCGGCGATTTCGGATCCCGTTGCTCTCGCACGCCACTGTGGGACAAACGTCAAGTATCTTTTGCCTGCAAGTACTGATAAATGAACCGGTGGACCCGTGCAGTCGTCCTGGACATCTAGTATATTCTTCATCCAGTCCATCCAACATCTTCAGCCACCAGATAAGATGCCTCAAGTACCTAGTTGTCATTTACCGACGACCCGAACAAAACCCTCTCGTTACTCCTCCATCATCACATCACATTTCTAAACCTGAAGCTTAATCATGCAAGTAATAATGACTATACTCACTCCGTATTGCCAGTCCAGTAACATAAATGACGCCCCGTCTGTCATCATGGGCAATGCGTTACGCAACGTTGACGATTGCCGTGCCTTGGGGAGTGGCTGGTGAGAAGTGGATAAGCCATGAATTTCATGCGGCGGTGCAACCCTCGTTCCGCAGCCACACACTTTCACGACAAGGCTTGCCGACTCTACCACACAAATTCAAAATGCTGCCCTAATGACGCACGTGATCTGAAGGGCACAAATTTTCGCCCTAGTGACACCACCACACACCATTATCGCATCCACTCCTACTCAGCCGAACATCACGACACAACCGACGTGCACCAGCAACCAGGGAAAGGTCTTTTAGATAAGACAGTTTCCTACGACTCTTTCCTTGTATACTTTGGTTGATTGCGAGGGTGGTACAACAAAAAGAATCTGCCAAGATGCCTTCCGAGAGCGGTCACAGACGTGAGTTGAATCCAACCCTTCTTGGCTGAACAAGGCCGTCATTTTCGCGATGCTCGGTCCAGCAATCGGAAACTATGGGCTAACCGTGTTCTCGACAGTATACGTCAAGTGAGTACTCCTATGCGATGAGGATCGAATTCGAAACGAAGTCTCTTGCGGTCAGGTGGAAATGGGAGTTGCACGACAAAAGATGTTATCGAATCTCGCCCTGTTACGCGCGTTGGGCCGTGCAACAACCCCGTTGAAGCCGACTTGCATCACGCTCTGCCGATGAGAAACTCTGCGACAGAACCCGCGACTCTTTGCTGACGGATTTGAATTAGGGGACGTCACTTGAGCTACCAGCGCTCCCGCCACGTCACCAGACCTGGCACCAGCTTGATCAAGATCGAGGGCGTCGATGACACCTCTGCTGCCAAGTAGGTCGCCCAAAAAACACCCACGGCCAGGAATTGTCACAAATTTCCACGTACTGACCGAGATTCCATCCATAGCTTCTACCTCGGCAAGAAGGTCGCCTACGTCTACCGCGGCCAGAAGGAGATTCGTGGATCCAAGATCCGCGTTATCTGGGGCAAGGTCACCCGGCCACACGGTATATTTGCACTCTCCCTCTAGCGATCTTTTGGTCACAAGTCGCTCTCTTGCACCAGGGTTGGACTAATGCGATTTTTCTTCCCACAGGCAACTCCGGCGTCGTCCGCGCCAAGTTCTCTTCTCCCCTTCCCACTAAGTCTTTCGGTGCATCGGTTCGTGTGATGCTGTACCCCTCTTCGATATAAGTGCGAGGATTCGGAATGGAGTTGGTAGTGAGGACGGTTTTCATTTGGCTGCATTGGTCGAGGCAAGGATAAAGAGCATATTTGCCTTGGTTTGAGGCATTCAATTCAAAAAAAAGACTTCAAACCCTCAAAATACCCGGATGCTTCGTTGTCTTCGAACTATTTGGGGGCATGGTTTTTTGTACCTCGTGTGTGCATGACGTGAACGCGCGGCTGCGGGATCCGAGCCTGAAATCTTTTTTACTTTCCCCCTCTCATTATCGACGCTTCGTCCTTCGGCCGATATCACCTTCGAAATCGGGTTGGCGTTCAAAATTACGAAGTATTCTTGGTCACCGTCGACGTCGCTGGCCCGCCTGTCTGTTATGTAAAATAAGGATTTGATGATGGCAGGGGGCTCTATATTGAGGAACCAGGCGACCTGGTGATGTCTGACAGGTGCGCTTATGGGCTGTCTATATTGGAGAGAGTACGTGTCTGCCGGTCCGGTCGGGAGCTACTCGGAATCACCATGGTCATTGGTTGCTCCTTGGGCACCCTGCGTTATGAGTTCTGCTTGTTGTTAATAGGGCGCGGGCTAGCAAATCGATTGATTAGATGGCACTGAAAGCATAATTTCCATAGGGGTACCAACCGCGTGCGATGTACATCGTGACCATCCAGGCGCATGGTGCTTGACATGCCGCTACCGAGGACTCCCATCTTTCCCAGTGTCTCCTACCGCATGTATCAAATCGTTCCATTGCATCTTCCCATCTCTGTAATCACGTCTCGTAGAGCTATTGTTGCCAAAGAAACACCCTCCATGATCCAGCTCCGATATCGCTGCCCGGATTTCAACGGCGAGTACCCTATAGTTGCGCTTTGCCAGACCACAAGTTGGGAATTTTGTAAGCTTCCGCCTGGGTGAGTGAGGGTCACTGGATATTTGAGAGGCTCCAGGGACTTTGCGCCATTCAGGCATCACTTCTAGTCGCGCATTCTTTGTTTTACTTGATACTCTGTGATTACGCAAGTATTCCCGCTGCACCCGGCAAAAAGGGCTACCTGGGTACTTATTTAATTGGAGTTCGAGCTCGCCGTTCCGCTTGCTTTTGCACACCCTTCTGGTGCCAAGAACTGGGAATTTGATATATACCGATATCAGTGCGACAGATTTACTGCCGTGTACATTGTACACGGAGAACCTCCTTCCGATGAGCATCTGCTGGCTCAATCAAAGAGAATTGGGCGAAAATGATCGTATACAAGCTACACACAGTGACAGCTGCTGCATTGTGCCACGAACAGGGGACAAAGCCATGGCGTGGCGGCATCGAAACAAAATATCTCATGCATAAGAAAAGAAAATCGAAAACAGAGAAAAAAGGCTCCAACGCAGCCTGGGGCGTGGCTGTTGAGATTCAATCTTTCTAAGTGAAGCCGCATCTGGGTGTAGGGTAGCCGGACCCTAACCCCAAGAAAACAGAGCCTTCCAAATCAATTACCCACATTTTACATTGACCTTCACCCCACAACCTGTAATGATCTCAGTCGCGGCTTGTCGAGCGGTAGATTGATGCAAAGTTGGCATCAGCCATGGCTGCCCAGGCCACAACACCTAACCACTGTGGTTGGTCGGCGATCAATGGCTGCACCGATGAAACGAACTATCCGGCAGCCGGTGGGAATGGTAATTGCCCAGTTATCGCCCAAATCTTCAAAGCACTGGCTGGCTTCCTGGCTTGGTGGGAGCACAGTGTGCCTCAAACGAACATTGGACCCGTATCAAAGATACAATTCAACCTATGATAGTGAGACCGTGGGCAAAGTATAACTCCAATTGGCCTCAGGGCGGCGGGGAGACAGACGCACACAGCATCTTTGCACCACATATTTGACGACGGAGGAGGTTGGCTGCTGCGAAAACGCAGCACGTAATGCAAATTTCGCCCTCGATTAAACTGAGGAGAAAAAGCACATGGTTGGCATGGGGGCAGTGCGACTGGGACCTCGAGGCCTTAACGGTCATGCAATCAATACATTTGTTCCGGAAGCATCGGCAGCCAGTCTGGATCGTGGCACACGGCTGATCAAACAACGCCGGTCATGATTCAAGAGATGTACAAAGACCAAGAGGAAAACGGTGCTGACCTTTGCCCGGTGCCCAGGGGTGGACGTCTGCGGATTTCTTTCCAGTGCAGATATTATGAGATTTGCTACTCCGTAGGCGCACATCCAAAAGGTTAGGCGATGCTGTCGTCATGGAAGGACTGCAGATCATTTAATATTTTCCATGTCAGCGGCATCATCGCGTGATGGAGCTGGCGCCGATGCAGTGCATATCCCAACCCTGTCTGCACTCTGCAGTAGTGCATGGCGTCTAGGCAACGTCGACGCAAGTGCGGGCCAGGTGGCTTGCTCTTCTCCAAAGATCTATCAAGCTTTCCCGCCTTCTGACGATGGGGTTTCCCCTCGTGCAGTTTCACAGCGTCATGGGAAACCACTTGTTTCAGATGTGAGAAAACAGACCTGTCGACACCACTCGGCCGATTCAGAACCGTGCACGAACAGACAGTGAGTGCAGTCTCCATTGTTGCCGCCAGGCAGGTATTGTCATTGCTGAGCAAGAGGTGAATGCGACTTGCGTCACGATGCGTACTGCATGGCCAATTGGCCTCGAGTTGCGGGACATGAGGAAGCGGCAGACGGCCATTTCGGGCCACGCCAAAGCCAATTGCGCCCCAAGCGTCCAACAACTCGTGGCTTGGCCGGTTGATATTGAGCAAGATGGTGTGAAGGAACCACAACCTGGACAACGAACACGAAGTCGGGCCAGGGCAACATGGTGGTGATGTGCGTGCCTGGCGTAAGAAAACACTGGGGCTGGCGTCGTAATGGAAGCGCCCACGTCCAGGAATAGCTCCTTAGTTCGAAACGACGGAGCTCGAGTCGGGGCAAAACTGCACTGCTGCACTGCTGCTGTTTGCTCAAATGAATTCCATGTGTCATTGCAGCAGCGAGATTCAATCTTCTGCTGTCCACCGACATGAAACGAGACTGTGGCAATGTGTCCGTCCTGGAGATGCACCGACGCCCAACATGTTGAAAGGCTGAGCGGGTTTCCCTTTGATCGGTGCTTGGAGATATCTTGCCACCAACGGCTACTTGAAGCTGAGGCCATTGCCCATCGAGCATCTCTTTCTGGTGCCTGAGAGAATTGACACGTCATGATTGATGGGATCCACTGGAAGCGAGGCAAGTGCCGACATGGAGTGCTCGAGTGGTCCGGATTGATGGAACATTGAATACGGGAACTTGAGACTCGAAGTACTTTACTCCGTACGGATAGATGCACTTGATACAGCGGGACCACCGGCCAAACCTTCCTGGTGGTGGTGCCTTCCATTCTGGCAGCTGGACAGGGAACATGGAAGCAAGCGCCTGCCGTTCCAGCAAATAATTGATCGGCAACTTGCCAGTTTTCTGGTCAATGACTTGTCAGCTGGTGAACAAGAATTGCACTCCAAAGTTAAGGAATTTCGTCTCCCGCCTCTCCCACCTCGTATTTCAGAGACTGCCTGCGTCGATTCCTGCATACCTCAGAGCTCCGATCGACAAACGTCTTCAATTTCAGTTTAACAATCCTTTAACCAATCTCATGCGCGACCAAACCACAAAGGCAGGCCGCATCTTCCTCGCCACAGCCTTTCGACTAGTCGACTAGAGAACCGCGCGTGAGCCTGGATAGCAGGCGACGAGGTACTCCAAGCTCTCAGTCTCGCATACCGAGTACTATTTTACGACCATACTCCGTACTCCGCAATAGGTATCACGGGCTAGCGATACGAGTCGATTTCCAGACCTCCTATCTCCTCTCCTACCTACCTCCTACCCAATCCGCCTTAGACACTTGACAGCTCGGAACTACGACTCAAGCGAAGGGTCCAACGACCATCAGCGATATACACGTACTTTACAGCAAGACATTGACGGTTTTGCCATTCTAACGTCTCGTGGCACTCATATCCACTCGCCAAACAAAGACTGCGACTTGGGCCCGTGGACTGCTGACCCACAGTCTTCAGGCACATTGGTGGTGTGTTTGGATAATTCATCTATATTAGGTACCGGAGTCTATTCGGTCTGTCGATACACCTGAGCTGTGTGCAATCACCGTGCCAGTCTCATCAAAACCCACCAGCACTATTCAGTCGACCGGAACGACAAAGCTACTGCCCAAGAAGAAAGCGAACTAATCATCCTTGTCAGGACTTTCCTTTACGGGCTTGCTGCAGTTCGGTTCGAGAACGGCAAGTACAAACAAGTACCAAGGTAGTGGATGAGGGACACTGCCATCTCAAAGCTGCCAGTTCTGTGAGACATTACTAGTCCTTTGACGTCAACAAGCAAATTCCTACGGAGTATTGAATCTGGCAGAGGGCCCAGCGTGGTCGACTAGGGCCAACAACACACAAACGCAGACGGCTGCTGGAACCCTGCTCGCCATCCCCTTGCACTTGAGCATTGACGGGCTCGCGTCGGTCTCCTGATATTAAGATTGCAGGAAACGGCACTTCACAATTTGTGCACTTATTAGCAAACCCTTTGTTGTTAAGGGTACGGCATCATTAACGACCCAACACGGCCCATTGACTGGACCCGCCATCCATCCATTCCTCAACATCGGCTGATCGTCCCACAGCGGGTGGTCGAATTGAGTGTCGCTTTCAGTATCTTTGAGTACGGAGTAGGTAACTTTGAGAAACGGACCGTGTGGCTTGGTTGCCCAGCTAACTGCACGTTTACTTTGCACCGCAAACGACCGCGCGCCATCTGGCTTTGCACCATTGAGCCAAAGGCTCACCTTGTGGTGCCCCGCGTCTTGCGCCACCCTTCCCCCATCTCCTTGCCACTCTGCGACAAGGCCAAGTCAAGCGCCCTCCTATACCCTGGTTGCGTGGCCAAGGAGCTTGAGCACCACCCACTTGAGCTTGTCACAGCTCTCGCCCAGCCTCTTGCTTCAGACTCCCACTCCCCTTCTAAGCAAACTAGCAAAACTCCACATTTGAGAGCATCCTCATTTTCGCATTTTGATCCAAGAGGAGCTTTCTTATCGAGCCGACGCCTGGGACGGGTGCGCTGTCCCGCAAAGATATCCCGGACATCTAGAACCCTGGGTTCGCGAGCCGTGTTTGTCTTCGAATCCCTTACCCGCCAACTAACAGACTCTCGAAACACCCGATCCCTTGACTCCGCCAGCGTCCAATTTGGCGCGAGCGCCAGGCTACTCTCGTCAGATTGTCCAAACCCATCAAACTGATCAATCCACGCAATAAAAGCGAACCCACACCCGGTTGTTCGCCATGGCCTCTCGCGGGGACCAGTATCAACAGCGGCAGCAGCTGCAGCGCCCACAGCAAACGCCTTTACAAGCTTCGCTGGAACAACAACAGGCAGGACAGGCAAAGGCGCGTAGTTACAGCATTCAATCTCAGAAAACCCATCGAAGTAGTGGGAGCAAGCACGATTTCCACGAGACCCACGAGGAAAAGGAAGCTAGGCGATTACACAGCAAAGCTGATCCCACATTGGCTATGAACGAAGCTGAGCCATGTAAGTGACCAGCAATATCCGATGCGCGTTCATGTTGATGTTATCATCATCATCATCATCATCATCATTACTGCACTGTTACACCTCCTCGAAACTCGAAATCACGACTAACATATTGTACTAGCCATGGTCGCGGCCATGAAGTCGGAAAGGACCCAAATCTCTCTTCGCACAATACAGCACAAGGATCCCTGGGGGAACCCCATCGGTATGTTTTGTCGGTTAGAATACAAATAACGCTGGAGTTGGTATGCTGACATCAGGTAGCGGACCCGGACAGATCAAACCCAACCAGAAACCGATGGGAGCGGCCGCTGGACACGATCCGTAGCTTTGAGGCTGCCATTGACGGTGGCTATCAGCGTAAATCACTATATCGAGCAGGCAAGTCGTGTCACTCCAATTTGCCATATTCATCGTGTGTGATCCGTGGCTAACCCGACTGGCTTTTAGACACTGATTCAGTAGCAAACTGGAATAGACGAAGCAGTGTCCAAACTGCGAATCAGCCACGATTCCCTCAAGACAGTTATTACGGCAGTCGGCCTGTTTCGTTCAGGGGAGATAGCCAGTATGCACTACCCACGCCGGGAACAGTAAGGAACAGCGTCTACGACAACCCAAATGCCAGCGGCGGCTACAATAATAGTGGCTATGAAAGAGGATATGCGGGCAGTAGGCACCTGTCTCGGGATCGCAGCCAAAGGGTGCAATCCGAGTCGCATTACCAGATGTACGGGCGCGAGCAGGGTGTTTATCCTATGCCTCACAAGGACAGGTCATATGAGACTGTAACATCCGCTGCACCTAGCGGCAACTCAGACCCCGCTGGCTATCAGACGGACCCTACGTCCAGCGACAACAGCTCGATCGAGAGGGTATCACCAGCGAAACGGTCCGAGCCCGTCAATGATTATGGCATCGGATTCAGTCAAACAAATGCATACGATGTTCAAAACTTCTCTGTCGGCAAGCAGGTTAAGGACAATTCTCTGCCGCCACTGCCACTTCCTCATGCGGAGCCTCAGGCGGCTCCTCCTCCCCAATCTGTGCCTCGCAAAGGGTCTCTTTTGCGACGAAAATTGTCACAAACAAATGCCAATCCAGAGAAGCAGAAGAGCTGGTTTAGCCGTCGCTTTAGCAAAAACAGCTAGAGCCCCGTTCTTCTTCTTACCCTTTAATTGGACCGCATTCTTTTATAGACCTATTTTCCTTTATCTATATACACAAGCTAGGGGATCAATGGAGTTTTGGCGATGCCGGAAATAGCAATATTGATTCAGTCTGTTTGAGAAGTCAACAATGTCTTGGAATTATGGTTGTTTTTACCACAACTTATTCTCGATACCCGATCATGATGGTTAAACCTAACAGCTTGGCCGGGGGGGTGTTGTTCGATGGAGAAGAGGGTACTTGCTTTGACGGAATCAAATGTGGCGAGACACGCCCGGGTGGTTAGCACGGTCGCAATGGAGACTGTTGCCAGGCGTTCAGGGAGAGGCCTGGTAGGTCGACCGACGGATGTTGTTTTTGTGTGAGTGGGTTTGGTTGGCGGACTGGGAGGGCCTTTTTGACAGCGGAATGAGCGAGAGACAGGTCACCAGGGCCTTTGATTATCACTTATCAACTAAATTTATGCGGCATTCACGATCTGGCTAAGGCGGGAGCAAGCAGCGCATTACTGCCACTATAATAGGCCTGTAGATATCATGAACAAAACAGGAATGTATGGAATTAAATTGGGAAATTGAACAGAGATACGCGCCTCGAAAAGTTGATGACCATGCCCTTTGTTTGCGACAGCTTTCCATGTCACAATTATGATGATACATGATGACTCAGAGATATACATGAGAATTGCATGTCAAATGGCAGCATATTGCTCATTGGTCCTTTTTTGTCTCTGGTTTCTTGACACCCTCTCCCAGTCTCGCCGAATCATCCTCCTTCATTGCCACAATAACGTAGCTTATAAGCACCACGTTGGCCAGAAGAGCAGCCAGGCCTCCTGCAAGGGAAGAGTTTCCTGCCCAAGGGCATGAGTAAAGAAAGTACTGGAGGCTGGCGGCACAGTGAAGAGGTACGACGAACCTTTGAAAACGGTGTGGACGGTCAGAAAGTATGAGCCTATGGGGACGACGATCATGGCGAATGTGAAGCCGAGAAGCTTGAAAATGACATCTCTGTCCATGGGGGAAGAAGAGGAGGGAGGGCCTGGGGTCAGCGGCTGCCTGTGAAGCTTGGGGTTTGAATGTGAGTGAGGACTTACTTGGGGACGGCGGGGGATATGTTTGACTTTTCGGGCTGGTCGTCTTTTTCGAGGATGGTCTTTTCGCTGCTGATGATGCGGCGGGTTGCCATTGTGGGCGGGGTAGGGGATGGACGGGGTTGGGAACGGGGGAAGGCTTGTGGTTGTTTTCGTGTTTGTAGCCGTGGTGTTGGGTGGTTGTGATGGAAGGGTGAATGGTGTAGGTGCAGTTACTCGGTACGATGGTAGTTCGGGTGCCTCTCCACTTGTGAGTACCTACTTTACGTAGAGGTAGGTAGGTAGTTCAAGGATGGGAAGGGAAGTGCGGCCGAGCCTACCAAGCGTCTTGGCTACAGTCTGTAACGTTTGTTTATTTATCAGGTGACACTTGTAGGCAAATTATTCACAGTCGTAGGCCGTTTATTTCAAGGTTCCTTAATGGTAGTTATATTCCTCCACTAAGGGAAATTTAAGAAGTCGCCGGCCAGGCCATGCATACTCCGTACCTCGTTCTGTGATGAAAGTCACACGTGACTTCGCGAATGGTGGCGGGCGCCAAAGCGCGGCGCGACGCCAAGAGCCGTTACGAAATTCAACCCACTTTGGGCGTCCAAGTTGTTGGAGTGGTTTCGCACCATTCCCGCGGCTCCCAACACCTTTGCCGCTCGAATGCCTTTTCTGCACTGAGAGCTGGGCCACGAGGGGTGCGTGAGCCGTGTAAATTGCTTTCATGAGTATCGAATCAGCTGCTATACCCACTCTGTTTGCTCTTCGTCGTCATTTTTTGCCGAGTTGAAATTCTTTGCTTGCGCCAGCCAATGTTGGTGTCTTCTGCCTTCACTTCTCCTCCTTCGCCATGATCGACTCATCGCCTCCGCCGCCAATGCGGCACTCAAGTCCCGCTCCACGAACACCGTCCATCTCACGAGTCCCTACTCGCCTTGAAGACGTCGACGAATTAGCTGGGGCCACTATTCCCTGCTCACCCTCTGCATTTTTGCGCGACCCGTCACGAGAACGGGAGATTACACAACCGACACAGATTTTGAGCAAGCCGGGTCTGGCATTGGCCATGGACCGCTCCTCTTCGCCCGCTAGCATCATCGAAGTTCCTGCTTCTTCGCCATTCCAGCCAAAGGAGCCCTCGAGACTGGGTTCTCGCCTCGCACCCGCGGGAACCTTCTTTCGGCCACCGCCTCGACCACCACCACCTCGTTCAAAGGAATCCAAACGACCCGCCGCAGAGCCAATAAGTCTGATTTCTGACGATGAGGGCGATACATCGCCACCTAGGGGGGACATTCGGCCCACCACGTTTAAGGCCAAGATTGCCGAATTTGTGTATAACCCGGCTGCTGAGGAGAGAGAAGTCAAGACCAAGTTGCGGCAGATATATGATGTTTTCGGAAACAAGTATCCCTCAGAGAGAGTCAGAGAAGCGCTTATAGCGTGTAAGAACGACCTTGATGATGCCATCAGCTGGCTGGAAAGTGTGCCGAAGCAGACAGGCAAGAGTATTCGCCAAGAATCCAGCAAGCCAAATAAGAGGCGGTTGGTATCAAAGGCAGCATTGCAGAGCGATGCAAGGAGACCAATATCACTTGATCGAAACACGTCGCCTTCTCTCCCTTCAAGTCCGCCCCAGAAGAAAGAAAAGCCACAGAAGCGCCGGCTTGTCCAAGGATTGAAAAAGCGGAATGATTCCTCGCCGCAAAAGTCTTTTGACGGGCCAACACCCTCGAGAAAAAAACCCGTGGTTATTGACCTGGTCGACAATGATAAAGAGGATGCGTTTGAGGCCGAGCCGTCCCCCGCCCCATCAGAAGAGGACGACGATAGAGTACTCAACTGTCTTAATACGAGTACTCTCAAGGAACTCGCGGCAATGACTGGTATGAAAGAGGATCTTCTAGAACCCCTCATAGAGAAGAGGCCGTTTGATGACCTGTCACAAGCCCGCCGTGTCAGTGCGACGAAGAAGGCTGGTGCTCGAAAGTCGCCGAGAGTCAGCATAGGAGAGTCCGCTGTTGACGCTGTTGAAGTATTTCTCAACGCTGTGACAGCTATTGACGAGGTCGTTGCGAAGTGTGAAACAAAGGGGCAAGCAGTCAGGAGTGTAATGGACAGTTGGGACCTTGACATGTTTGGTCACAATAAGCGAAGTAGTCGAGCATCCCCCGATGTGGATATGCCCCCTACGCCAAACAGCATGACTTCCAAGTACTCACGACCACTGATACCTCGACAGCCCAAGATGATGGACGGACATTGTCAAATGAAGCCATTCCAGCTCTTTGGTTTAAATTGGATGTCATTGTTGTGCAGCTATGATATTGGCTGTATTCTGGCTGACGAGATGGGCTTGGGCAAGACTTGCCAGGTCATCTCGCTCATGTGTCATTTGGTTGAGGAATATGAAAGGGAACCCAAGGCGAGCCGACCGTGGCCAAATTTGATTGTGGTGCCGCCGAGCACTTATAATAATTGGCTTCATGAGTTTGAGAGATTTGCTCCAGATCTGTCCGTTGTGGGCTACCGAGGCTCTCAGTCGGAACGAGCCGAAATCGCTTATGAAGTCGAGCGAGATCCAGAGTCGTATCATGTTGTTTTGGCCACTTATTCGCAGATCAACTCGGACGCAGATGTCGAGGCCATGCAGTCGTTTGATCTGAATGCAGCAGTTTTTGACGAGGGCCACAAAATGAAGAACCCAGAAACGAAGATTTATCGACATTTGCGCCGCATTCCTGCAACGTGGAAGATGCTCCTGACTGGTGAGATAAATCGATGCGCAACTATTCCCAGGCTTTTTGAGCTAACTTGGCACAGGAACACCGGTGCAAAATAATCTGCTCGAAATGACTGCTTTGCTAAATTTCATTAACCCACAGATGTTTGACGGCTACATGGATGACATTCGATATATTTTCAGCCAAAAGGTTACGATTAAAGACGTGTCAAACGGAGCTTTCTTGTATGCCGAACGTGTTAGACGTGCGCGAACTATCTTGGAACCGTTCATCCTGCAGCGACGAAAGGACCAGGTTTTGTCAGATATGCCGCCAAAGATTTGCACCGTTGTGCACTGCGACATGACTGATTCACAAAAGAAGACGTATGCCGAGTATGAAGAGCTTTTCAAGCAGGAGCCATCTTTACGTGCACCCAGGGCCAAGGGGCGACAGAATGATCAAAACAATGTGTGGATACAGCTCCGCAAAGCAGCATTGCATCCCCTGTTGTTCAGACGGCACTTTACAGATGAAATGGTTGCAGAGATGGGCAAGATACTAATGGATAGAATCCCACAATCTGAGCTCCATCAGCCGGATATCAAGCATCTGGTGCAAGAACTCAAGAATTCATCTGATTTTGAGCTCCACCTGTGGTGTCGAGACTACCCCAGGTTGCTCAAGCAATTCGACATCCCCTCTGCGGCGGAATTGGACAGCGGCAAGGTCACAAAGCTACTAGAGCTTATCAGGCAGTATCAGGAGAACGGGGATCGAGTGCTCGTGTTCAGCAAGTACTCTAGGCTGATTGAGCTTTTACAAGAGGTTCTTGCTCTGCAGGGCGTTGATCACCGTGTTTTGATGGGAAATACCAACGTTTCAGAGCGACAGACGCTCATCGACGAGTTTAACGAGGATGCAAGCATCCCAGTGTTTTTATTGACAACTGGCGCGGGCGGTACAGGCATCAACCTCACGGCCGCCAACAAGGTCATCATCTTTGACCTGTCGGACAACCCGCAAGATGACATCCAAGCGGAGAACCGGGCCCATCGTCTCGGCCAGAAACGAGACGTCGAAGTGATCCGACTCATTGCTTCGCAATCAATCGAGGAGCTCATCTACAAGGCGTGCCAAAAGAAGATTGAGCTCGCCAACAAGGTCACCGGGGCCGGGGCGCTGGAAGACACACACGGCCCAGAACAGAACATGGAACAAGAAGTTCGCAAGATGATGCTGGCAGGGAAGATGACGCCCCCGTAGGCCGTAGGGATCGGACGTTGTCACGCCCCGCCAACGTGGCCAAGGAAGAGGGAATTAGACGCTCGGGGGTTGCATGAGCGGGTTATGTCGGCGCAAAAATAGATATGGGGTAGCCTTTGAGCATCCGTTTAGACATTGGCATATGACATGGTCTGAGAGGGGTCGGGATGGCATCTTATAGTCAACATGGTAGACGATAGACAAGCATACAGCGTACGTCGTGTCAGTATGTACCTTTGGCTCTGGGAACAAGATTCACACCGCCACGGGGTGGGCAGAGATGAAGCAGGCCCCAGGTGCCCTCTGGCAAATCACCCTCGCCAGCGCAAGCACGCCATGCAACCCCAGCTCGCGGCAGTCCTGCTTCTCCCCCATGCAACCCCGGTCCCGCGTCCCGCCCCGAATGTCTCGCAAGCAGGTCATCTTGTTGGTCCTACATTCCGCCGCACGACGTAGACGCGCTTGTTTATTTTCCAAGCCTACACTGTCACCGACGTACGACCTTGCCGTAACAGGACCAGGGTGCAAGGACGACGTCGCGGGAAAAATAGACTTCACCACGACAGACCGGGGGGAGGGGGGACCTGGGAAACCAAAACGAGAAAAAAAAAGAAAAATGGAAAAAGGCGCATCAAGCGCCAAAAATAAATTATCACCGCGGGGCGGGCCCTTGCGGACCGGACCCTGATGGTGGGAAGGAAAACCCGTGGACCCGGACGCCATTTGGCGCGGCACTAGTGCGTGTTCGTGGCACGGACGGGTATGAACTGATGGTGGTTTGACTTTTTGGTTTCAATTTACTACCCATCGTGCCCAAGTAGAACTCTGCAGACCCTTTGATTAAATCCATCCACGGGCGCTAGTAGAAAGAAAGAACAATGCGCTTCGTGCAAGTTTCTCAAGCAGCCAAAACCAAAACTATGCTTCCAAACACTTGCCTCTTTCCGAGGGGGATATCTCCAGACCAAAATACATTAAAACCTTACATTTCCACAGCTCCTTAAGCCCCTGCCCAAACGCCGAAGCTGGCCCTTTCGCTGTGGGACCGACTTTGTGTAAAACAAATAAATAGCTTGTGTAGAAATATGGGAGCTGCGTCTTGCATAGCGCCCCGGCGT